TGGGCAGAACCTCCACTGAAGATGAACATCGCGAGGGACGCCCTTCCACGTCCCTTACTGGAGAAAACGTCAAAAAAGTGGAAGATATCGTGTTGGCCGATCGAAGGGTGACCGTAAGGCATGTAGCTGAGGTCACAGGGATCTCCTATGGCAGCGTTCAAAAAATCATTGTCAACAAAATGCATATGAAAAAGGTCTCTGCGCGTTGGGTACCGAGAATGTTAACCGACGAGCAAAAAAAGAAACGAGTCGACATTTCGAGGGTGAATCTTCAAAAGTTCCAGGCCGATAAAGATTTTTTTTTTGTCGCGTTTTGTGACCATGGACGAGACCTGGATCCACCACTTTGATCCCGAAACCAAACAACAATCAATGACTTGGAAACGAGCTTCCTCACCAACGCCGAAGAAATTCAAAGTGTCAAGTTCAGCGGGAAAGGTTATGGCGTCTGTTTTCTGGGATGCAGAAGGAATTATTATGGTGGAATATTTGGAAAAGGGGGCCACTATAACAGGCTCTTACTACGCAGGCCAAATAAGAAGATTGCGAGAAGCTATTAAGTCAAAAAGACGCGGTAAACTGCGCGCTGGAGTGCTGTTTCACCAAGACAACGCCCCGGCTCACAAAGCCGCAGTTGCGATGGCTGCCATTGAAGAAACGGGGTTCGAACTGCTCGAACACCCTCCCTATTCGCCAGATCTAGCTCCCAGTGACTTCTACCTCTTTCCTCGGCTCAAAGAACACCTCCGGGGCAACAAATTTGATGACAATAGTGAAGTGATGGCCGCAGTAGAGGCATTTTGGGAGGGTCAAGACAAAGAATTTTTTTCTAAGGGAATCATGGGCTTAGAAAAAAGATACACTAAATGTATTAACTTGCAAGGAGACTATGTTGAAAAATAAAATACTTTTTTTAATCTAATAGTTCTGTTTTATTGATCACCCCTCGTATATATTAATTTTGAATGGCTCTCCCACGGTGAAAATTAATTTTCACCGTGGGAAAGCCATTCTTCGATGGGCCGGCGCGACCGGAGTTATACCACGCCCTTGCAGAATAACGGTGTTAAACAAATATTTCGTTGTTTTCCACTGAGTGAGTAAGGTCACCGGAATCCCAAATTCTCATCTCATGAAAATCACTACTGTGACGGACCATGTCCATCACAGTATATGCTGAGGGTTAATCCACCTATTTTATGGGACCCAGCGTGCAACGCTCATCAACATAAGCTATCGATTTAGTTGAGAGGAATTACTTGGTTACGTACAATAAGTAGTTTCTGTACTCTTTTATACCATAAATAACCTAAAATAATAGTGATCACCACGTCATACATGACCATGTCCACAGATAACGTTGTGTTGCACGTACTACAGGTTGTGGCGACTCCAGCGCCATCTAACGAAGACACACCGAACTACGGAGTAACTACTGAATAAGAATTGCTAATCCTGTATCGCGATATGAAGAGTTCTCTCGCCGATTAGCATATATACAACTTCCCAACATCAATAGTTGGGCCGCAGCCCGCTAGGCATGATCACCTCGCCTGGTCGGAGGATCCTCCCTTTGTGTTGGAGGGACATGACACCCATTCCTCCACAAGGTCAATAGTTGTAAGCCTCAAAAATGTGATAACCACCTAATCATCCATGATGTAATTGTTTGTTTTTCCTTTCTCCCATTAAGTTGTATGCTGTGTCTTTTACAGAATAAAGTTTTATTTTATTTCTATCGCCATAATTTTGGGAAGGGGGGAACAAAGAGCGGCAAACCCGCTTGTGACTCTTTGAGTTGCAGGTGTCCCATGGGCGGCGGCAGTGACCAGTCTGCTCCTTCATCCGCCTATAATATAAATAAATATATTTTCACTGAAATTAAGCATGGAATAGAAAATAGCTAAATCCTAACTTGTGATAAACAGATAGCCCTAGTAGTGGCGTATGCGACTGTTGGTTGGATTCCTGGGTCGGACCAAATGTTTGTAGTATGAAGTGCATACATTAGTTTCTGAGATTGGATGTTTTCTATGTATAATATGGACGTATTTACAAAAAAAGTAAATAAGTATTAAGCACTTGTATGTCAGATGTCCGAAATATTAATTTCATTTATTCACCTAATACAGCGGTTTCAATGAGTAGGTACATACAAATGACCTAGGTAACTGATTTCTTGTAGGTTCGATTCCGAGATCTGTTTAGATAAGGTATTAGTTAAGAATTTGTGTAAATTCGACTCGATACCAAATAAAATATATCATGTCACCGTGTTAATGGTCGTTGTTAAAAACCTTCGAGAATAGTTCGTACTTTATATTTATTAATATTATCTAACCTTGCGATGTCTTTGCGCCTTCTTTTTTTGTTTTGAATGATAATGTTCGATTCAAGGCTGGTCAATCACTCCATTCAAATGTATTCGCTTAAAAGATTTTGATAACGTATGTCAAGTCAGAATATAATTTACATATTAATGTTATGGTAACGTCGTAGATTTTTGTTACAGGAATAAGTATATGCAACTAGGTTAATCCTCTCTTTGCCATGAGAAATAAAAGCTACTGAAGTCTTTAAGTAACACTGATAACACGTTTGATGAATAATTTTATCACATTAAAAAACCTATGGTTGTCATGAATCAATTAAAATGCTTTGAGAAATACTGAAGTAAGTATTGTACAACATTATCGCAATGTCACCATAGGCTTTGCATGACAGCTAATTTAAAAGCGAAAAACATGTTGTATACGTCATCTCAACAACTGTCCCTTTCAATAATTTAAGAGCCATGAGTTTTAAATGATTACGACTTTTTTAAGTCAAGTTATGTAATAGGCGGTTGTGTATTAAGTTAACTCTGACAGAGTGAGTTTTGACACATCCTAATTAACACATTATCTTGCCATCTGGGACTTGTCTTTTATACGAAGAGTTTTTTTTAATTCATATCCATTTGCTAGTTTGCCCGCTATTCCAATGGAGAGGGAGGACAAACGAACAGTCCACTGCTGGACATAGGTGTCTCCCATTGCACGCCAGTTAAGATCGATTTAGTTGATCTAATTGTCACTCCACCTGGCCTGGGTGGGTCACGCGATGGTAAGTAACTACCGTCACAAGTCACAAAAAAAAAGTGTATTGCCGCTTTTTGGGTACCCCTTCCACTAGCATTAGTGGGAGGGAGATTGGGCAACAATTATCCGACACACTCGCTAAAAAATAATGAAAAAAGCTAAACAGCGATTTTTAAGGCCGTGGTATCACTGATGGTCACACTGGTGGAGCCGGCCCAAATTTGCCGAAACATGGCAACACTTGCTTTGACGCTGTGAAAGAAAAAGCCGACTAAATATGAGAGACTAAAATGCCGAAAAGGCCCTATTTATAAACCCATATGGTTGTGATACTACCGTCTCAATTTTATTATTTCTTAACGCATATTTTTTCATCTGAAATATTACGAAATACTTTTGATCGTCATATTATCAAGTCAAACATACAATATCTAAAATATCAATACAAACAATATCTAAAAATCTTGCCTAGTTTGCTCAATTGGCACACAGTAATCAAATTGAATAGCTTTTAGTCTGTAGAGTAGTAATTTAGCTATAACCTTACTGATATAGTTCGCTCACTAACTATATACTAACTAGATACTTAAAATAATTTGTATAAAATAATTATAATATACTTAATAAGTAATTACGCAAAAAAAAAAGCCTTTCCTCTCTTCAAATATATAAAATCAATGCTTAATTTTTATAGCGTGATGTTTGCATCGAACATCAGTTGTCGAAAAACAGTGTTTATACTTCATAGAATAAATAACTCCAACTTTCAATAAAGAACTTTAACTTTCAATTATTGTAGATTATTATTAATTCACAATAATAATAAAAGACGTACGATATCTTTTAGCTTTTTTTAAAAAAGTCTGTGATAATGAAATGTGTTAAAAAGAATTAAAAGATTTCACTACCTACCTACTCTTTTGCACAGTTAGTTCCGACTTTTGTCATATTTTTTGTATAAATATTTACATAAGGCACTATAAACTGGACAATCTTGATCATTCGTAAACATTAAACAAACAAGAACGCCAATAATTATATTTTGAAAAAATAAAAAAAATATATCCAATTATTCTATCTACTTCGAACATATTTAGTAACATAGTGACTACATGTAAAACTTAAACTTCATGATTATTTGCGATGTAAGTATATGGCACGAAGCTATAAAGTGTAAATTCTTACTTGCTACTTAATACTACAGATACTGGAGAATGCTATCATGAACCACTTTATAGTTACGAGTAAATGCAATTTATATATCAAACAAATAATGTTTACCATCACAACTTACTTCAAATATATCGAAACAATCAGAGTTAATCGTCATTCGTGGAAGCAAACGATTATAGGTGTATTAAAATACGTTCTGATTCACATTATTTCACTTCATAATTATTATTGTAACAAAAATATTAACCCTAGAAATGTTGCAATTTTTTTTATATGGTTTTAACATTTTTTTGTTTTTTTAAAAATATTATAAATGCTCGAGGTTATTTATATTTGAAAAGGCACTGACAGAGGTAATGTGTCCGGTAAGACAATCTAGTACGAAACTGGAACGTCGAGCTAAATTTTTTGCACTCATTGAAAAGTATATTTGAAATTCTATTTTTTTTTTTAAGACCAATCCCGCATTACGAATATATCCTGTGTCGCGGGGACTTTATAAACATACATGAAACGGGCACAAAGAACACCCAGACTCAGAACAACAATTTGTCGATCATACAAAGTGTTGTCCCATGGTTTGAACCCACAACACTTGACGCAGTAGGAAGCGGCGTGGCGACCGCTTAAACCACTACGCCTTCCGTGCAGTCAGTAATATCCAATAAACTGTACTAAAAGAATACTTAGTTCTAAAAACTCTCAGTAAAATATACCTAGGGCACGTCAGCAGAGGACACGAACATACTAGTTTACATAAAAAGGCATATTACTCAATTCTTTTGTAGCTAATCTCGCAGCTCTATTTAAAGTGACGTTACAATGCGTATGCAATGCTTCCAAGTAACCAGACTCTTTCTTACTCCATTTAGAACTCATGGCAACAGAAAATGCCGTGCAAGAGAACGTACACAATAAACTAATGAGAATACAGACTCTCATTCTCAACGCATCGCTGGGCTGTTCTAATAAAGTCATAAAATTGAAGTTTTCATCTTCAAAAAGTATTTTTTCAACTACGTCTGCGTGTTCAGGTAAGTCTTGAAGTACGGATATGAGGAGTCCAACGATGTTCAGTACAATACGTGGCGACTTCGAATCTGTAACAGTGGCAATTATCACTTTTTGAGTTACAGATCGTACACTATCATTAAAGGAAAATCGAGGAATACATTTTAAAAACCTGAATGAAATATTTAGAAATCTAGAGCTGTGACTTTATTATACGTAGAAATACAGAACACAGAATACAAATATATACTCATATATTCATGCATGCCGTAGTAAAAATACTGTTGCGTGTTCAGATACTACTTTATTACTCTTCCTTGTTAGTAAGTTGTGTTAGTATTTATACTCTAATATTAATCGTCTGTGAGCTAACATCTATACACACATTCAAACAGAGATTCAGCTGACTAGTAAACTGTTGCGGCAATTATAATAACATACAATAATAAATAAGGAAATGATCGCTATTAATGAGGTGACATACATATTTGTAACAAAACGATATGCGTAATGCACGTGTAATGGGCTAACACATACCAACAAATGTTTATCTTGCGAGGAAATCAAACCCTTAAAGTTAGTAGCAGCCAGCTGTGTATGTTGTTAATGTCGTCGTGTTTTCTATAATATTTAAATTAAGAATGGGTTTCCTTTACTTATAAAAACTATCAGTCTTTGGTGATACGAATAAATATCCTTTTGACTGTAGGGAAGACTGTGATAGTGACTTTGTAAGGATGTATGTTGTCAATGAATGGCTGTAAGGTAGGTGATGTTACAATTATTAACTGACAAAATGACAAGCTTTTAAAGCGAAATAATGAATGCTTGGTTTCTATTACGTGCCTTCTAGCGAAAAACTTTTTACTACCACTACGCTCAGCGCTGGTTTTCTCTGTTAGCAGATAAGTTTAGCCAATTAGTCTTCTTACTTCTTCCTCAGTCCTTTCTGTCACACTTTTGTAGACAGGCCGTCCTGCGCGTCCCCAGATGTCGTCAACCCATCAAGTTAGTGGGCGACCCCTTGGTCTGGTGTTAGACTATGGTCTCCAGTTTAGGATACTCCTTGGCCATCGATCTTTAGGCATTCTGGCGATACGGCCAGCCCAAAGTCCGCTTTTATCGTGCGTTGGTTACTACGACATTCCTTCACGTGGGTCCTCTGCCTAATCCGCTCATTTCGTTGACAGTAGCAAAATGTGATGATTTGAGATGATAAATTTTTCAGCTGACCGTAATCGAGCATAGGCATAATGCAATTCTCTAACACTTAAACCTTCAGTTTCACTTGTAGTTCTCCACGCATTATATGCGAATTAGCACTAAACGCAGCCCAGGCTTGGGGAATACGTCTTTTCTCTTTTACGGTTTGGTTGGTAATCCCTAGTTACTTTGTAACCAAGGTAGACATAGTCGCTAATCACTTCGACGGGCGGTTGGTAGTTTTCTGCTACATGTTTGTAGATAAAAACTACTAACCAAACCACCAACTAACTATCCAAACTACCAACTGCCCGGTAAATCGGTAGAATAAAATTATAAGCGTAAACACAAGACGCTCTGTGACACTTTCTGATAGATTACCTTTATTAAGCATTTAATTTGATTAGGCCGTACTCGATGCCTGATCTAAATAAAGTTCGAAGAAAAATGATCACTCTGAAATACGTTTTATTTATTTACTTTTTTTATAGGACTGCGACAGGCCAATAACTTTTGACAGAACGGAGTCAGTCGGGGCAGCTGGTAATATTATAAAAACATATGACATGACAATATATATACATGAGTTAGTTATTATATTACACTGGTTAAAAACCACAAGACATTTGTATAAGAAGTACTCACAATGCGACAAGAAGTGCGTGAAGACGGGGCAGGCGCTGTAGGCGCTGAGCGCCGCCGCGAGCTGGCGCACGGCGCGGCACGAGCGCACGCACAGCCACGCGCACACCTCCACCATGCGCCCCACGCCCTGCACTCTACGTCACGACATTATTTTACCCTTCATTTTTTCTGTTTACAAATACCGAACTTTTTATGCTTCTTGCCGAGTCTCAAGCGGAAAAAAAGCTTTGAATTAGAACTAAATTAATTTGCACAAGAAATCTTTTTTTAAGGTTAAGGTTTAAGCATCTGTCTGTATATCCACTAAATTCTCCCAAACCAAGAAACGGACTTTGATGCGATTTTTATCATTACTTAGATAAATCACACACGGCAGAACTGAAACTTTTGGTCAAATTAACACAGATGTGTTAAATAATTAACATAAATTATTTAACCAACGAATTTAAAAAAAAAAAAAACACGTGAATGATACACCACGTTGTTTATGACACATTTTCTGACAGCTTTGTTGTAAGCAGGCGTAAAGACACGTGATAGCATCCGTGACAGGAGACGAAGAATCATTCTCACGAAGGCTAAATCCTTTTCCAAAAACAATATTTTGCAAAGCAATTGACCTGATATTAAATTTACATAACTTACGTAGGCTTAAATTACACCCGCACGGAATTCCTAGTGTTGCTAGTTTACAAAAAAGAATAAATACTACTTGCCTCTCCTGTGCTCCGTCGTCATTATCTGTGCTATCTTTCATGAGTGTATTGATTGCTGCCACGAAATTGTACACAACTTTTGCTTCGAGATACACCTGAAAAATGAACACAAGTAGGTATATTTAGCGGCATGTCAATAATAATGTTATAAATAATTGAAAGAGGCCAGGCTATGTCTAGAATTTAACGTCATTCGGTTGTAATTACTATCATAATAAATAATTATGAAAATACATAAAGCTGTTATTCGATCACATCTGATTGAATTTGAGCGAAATATGACGCAGGACTTACAGACGGAAACACATTCAGGATCAAAGGGGATAAACTTGAATGTAAGATATTTAAAACGACTTCAAAAACTCCGGCTTTTTTATAAAAATAGTTTTATATTAATAAAAGCTTATGTAACTAACGTCTTGTATGTTGAGCAGCGTGTGTCGGGGCAGCGCGTGCGCAAGCGCCGGCAGCGCCAGCAGCGCCGCCACGGCGCCGCACACGCGCCCGCCGCCGCGCGCCCGCGCCGCACTCCCCACCACACCTATCACCATGCTCACCTGCAAATTCAAAATATAACAATAGGTAACCTCCCATCGTGTACTAAAAAATACAAAACCTGAGACAAACAGAATCGAGCTATCTACTTTAGCGGTTGGCACACATTGCAAAACTGTCGATGCTGAAACTGGGCCCATGCAATCTACGGTAGTTTTAAACTTAAAAGTTCCGTTTTTTTTTGTCATGAATAACATGAAAATGCTTATAACAACTTAGCGACAACTTACAGATATGCGACCGGGCCCCTCTTTCCCACTGGGCACGTGCCCAGAGACCATCGATAGATAGGGGCCACTTATTCCTGCCAGATCACCAATCGATAATCGATATTTATTACCGAAAACCTATTCCAACAGAATAGTAATATAATCAGTCAAGATCGTATCCCATTATCCCAAGCCTCAAAGACGGCTCTGTCTACAACCCTAACATGCCAGAGCTAATGCTTACACTTACTTTTCCGTATTCCACTATTTTATTGGGCAAGAGACCTACCCACTAATACGGCACTATGACCATATTACAGTGGCAAAAGCGTGAGTGTTAATTACTCATCTGAGTACCCTTTATATCATAGAGAGATAATTGTCCGTGTACTAAGGAATTAAGAATACAGATTGTCACCAACCCCATTCATCCCGTGGGTGTTGTAAGAATCGATTAAGGGAGCAAAATCTGCAGGACATCAGCACTGGAGAAGCAACTGCAGAAGGAAAACCAGCGTGGTATAATAGGAGAAAACGTACTTTCTAAAGAGAGGTTTATGTCTAGCAGTAGACTATTTAAGGATATTGTTGATGATGAATAAGGAGAGATACAAGCATGAGTATATGTAAAAATGTATGAAAAAAAAACCCTTGATTTTTTGTACCTAATGGTTATTATTGTGATTATTTATTTACAATTGCACCTTTTTAATAGTCATATTCAGTCATGCTTCACCCCTTGTATATTTTATTATTAGTATTTCACAAAACAAATGTTCTAAGTTCAAAAGTTCTAATAATAAATGTTGCTAAGGTTTTATAAACTACATTAGGTACAATAATAGCTGTTGAGCGCACCGGATATGCGTCAGTTGCGTTTCATTATTCTCTCGTGCGTAAACCTCCAAACGAGCTACGTGCAGTAGTACACGCCTGCCAATAATTACGATACTCTCATTTTAGCAGGTTTATTATGAGTCATTACGACTGTAGTTAGCAAGCGGCTATAATGTGTGTTAATTTAGCAATAAAACTGAAACTGGAATGTGTGTCAATAACATAGACGTCTTGTGTTTGAACCAAGCTTAATGTGTTTATAGCAAAATGCACGGAAATATCCATTATGTATGAGCTAACACACAACACCTAAATAAAACAATATTTTATAAGGGTTTACCATTTTCACAATTCAGTTTTGGTCTACGACAGACGTTTATAGTAATACTTGAATCTTAGGACTAAATAAAAACAATTATAAATTATTATTAATCGTAATTAAATCAATAACCATGTGTCACTTTGGAAAACTGTTTTAGTATTTTTGGTGTTTTGAGTATTAGTTGTGATAAAAGATAAATATCTTTTATCACAACTAATACTATCCTGGTAAGGAATCAGACGCTGTGTGTTAGATGTTTGGAGTTATAGTTTATTATATAAGAGGCTCACTTAATAAATAACTAACTACTTCTGAAACCTCTAAATATTATGAAGTCATATGACAATTATGTGTAGACATATTTCATATTATATGCAAATATATTTTGGATATAGCACTTGATTACAAACCATATTCAGTTGAGTGAGAGATTCCACATCACCATCCATAACTTCACTAATGTTAGAGTTGAGGAATGCTTCCCATTCTTCCAATTCAATTGATGAGGGTTCCTTGACTGCAAAATAGAATAAACAACGATATAGTTAACAGTTAATAATAACAACTTGACACATTTCATACACGGTTGTCTGTTCCCTAACTAGGCGGAGCTTGCACATATTTCTAAATAGAATATCATATATTACAAAAAATACACTCAGAGCAGAGCAAATGATCATATTCATTACACAATTGTTCTTCCTGGGTGGGAATTGAACCCACAACCTCTTGGCGCAGGAGTCTGGACCACTAACAACTAAGCCAACACATGAATCTTAAAAAATTACCATCACTTTTATCTTCAGATCTGAGAATCCTGTCATTGTCTGCAACTTCTTTATCGTCAGACGTCTCCTCTATAACTTCGCATTTTTCAATGTCTTTGTCTTTTTCTTCTTTGGAACCTTTTTCTTTATCATCTATAAGACTTGGCACTTCAATAGTAGGTTCACTAGTTCTTCTTTGAGTTTCATTTTTACTCTTATCCCAACTTGTACTAAAATGAAATGACCTTTTGATACTTCTTGTTAATTTATTTCCTCCACTGCCAAATCGGAGTTTATCTCTTGAAAATTGTAAAAACTTTTGTTTGTAAGAAGGTGGAACACTTTTACTGAGACCAGAACTAACATCACTGCTACATTTTGTGGAACTTTTAGGATTCTCTAAACTGTGTGATGCAGTATCTACAGACTTCGCCTTTTGTTTTATTTCTAAAATGGCTTGTTTACTTGGAGTACTAGTATTCGAACATTGTATTTCATCAGCAGGCTTATCTTTATCACTGTGAGGTTTTTCTTCATCAATTTTATCCATTTTATTACGGTCTGTTTGTTTTTTATTGGCTGCCATAAGCTGCGCCATATTATTTTCTAAGTTACACACAACAAGATTTGAATTATTAAGTACATTATATTCGTGTCTGAGTAGTTTTGCATTAGCAGCAGTGATGGGATGTGATTGGTCTTCATCATCAGTTTTGAGACTATCTCTAACACTAAACGCGCTGGTAGCTCTGACACTATCGTCATCAGACATTGGTACACATTCCATTGCTTGCATAACTCGTACATTGCGCAAGTCATGCTCTTTGGTTTCAACTTTTGTTTCTGGTATAGTCCTGGAAAAAGTTTATGGATTACATTATTTTTTCGATATAGAAAATGTCTTAATTTAACTAAAGAGGACTCGAATTATCCTGCATTGTTTGTTTTTAAAGGTATATTTATATCAATGCACTTTATTCATGTGAAAGTTAATTTCACACTGTTAAAGTAATCAAAGATGTCGATAACACACAAAAAATGGTGTTCCAAATTGAATTATGTATAATTTACATGGTTAAAATAAATTAAGGGTGGGCAAAAAAAATACTTATATATCTATTTAAGTTTTAACCTAGTGTTGTTGCTGACTTTTTCTCTCTGAAGTTGTTTAGCCTCTTGCTGACTGTGAGTCAATGGTTTTGTAAATGGAGATTCACTTTGTACATCTTCAGGGAGTATGGTCACATGGTCCGCAACAAATGGATGTTCTAGTATCTCAGGCCAGGTCATTCTTTTCATTGGATCTTTGTGCAGTAGACCCTGTAATATGGAACATAAGTAGTTGGGTAGCATACATACAATATATTTGAACAAGTAGGGTAATAGAAACTGGTATTTTGAATTCTTTAACCTGTATATTTTTATGTTTATTTCCCTAAATAACTAAAAAATATACAAACTATATTCAGTTATGAGGTGTGACAGATCATTTGAGCTGCAGATACACGTGTAAGTGAAATATAAAATATATGCTTCAAACAAAATAAAAATATCTAATTTAATAAAATATTTCGGAGCTATTAGGTGATTGCAATATCTAGCCATAACTGTCAGAAGCAAGTATATAGGAACATGAATATCTAACACAGAACAAAAAGTAAAAAAAAACAGCAGATGTTTATTACATAATCTACATTTCTTATGTCTTACTCAAACGGAATAGGGTTCTAAGTCCTTTACTTCTCATCAGACTATTGAACTCTATCCTGGTCTTGAGCAGTCCATATTAATCAGTAGCCAGCAATCAGCAGTGAATCCCATCATATTGCAGGGCGCCCAACACTATGTTTACCTAACCTTTTGTCTCAACTCTAACACATGTCAGCTCCAGCAACCATAAGTGCATGCACCATAACCACTTCAACTTTAGCATACTGATTGCATTCTATAATCTTCTCTAAAAATGTTTATTGATACATACCTGCAGAAATGATCTGGCTTCAGTACTTATGAAGCTAGGCCACTGTACAGGTTTGTGCCTTATCATCCTCACCAACTGCCATATAGACATTGTACAGAACGGTGGCTGGCCCGCTATCAGTTCATATACTATGCAGCCGAGGGACCATAAGTCAGCCTGAAATCATACAAGATAAAAATTTGTTGTTATTGCAGGTTTATCCCTTTCAGGAAGTATGCTATACATTAACATTATTTCACAAATACTTCAGCCTACATTATAAACTGTTTTTAATTGAATTTAATGCATGAAAGTTCATTTTGTGTCAAGTTTATATTCAAAGCTATGGGCTCACTTTTATTAACATGTTATTGAAAACAATACAAATATATATTATGATCCATGAATATCATATAAAACACTCAAAAATGAAATAAAAATTTACTTACAGAACAGTAGCTGACTTTTTCAATGATATTTATATTATTTAAATAAGTGTTCTTGCCATGAAATTTCATTTTAGGCTATTTGTTACAATATGGTTATTTTTTATTATATATAAATAAACAAAAAGTTTAAGCAGATCAGATATTAGACACATAAAAGTATTAAACATGGAAATGGATTTAAAAATTTCTTTTTAAAATTCTTAACATACGAGTATGTAGATTAAATATATTCAGTTATCAATAAACAGTTACCTGATGATCATATGGCTTTTCCTCTATTAACTCTGGTGCCATATACAATGGGGTACCTTTAATAGATGTGAGAATGTGTGTTGCATTTGTCATAATTCTAGCCAGGCCAAAGTCACACAGTTTGGCACATCCAGAGCTATCCAACAACACATTCTGTGGCTTTAAATCCCTAAAAAAAAATCCAAAATTCAAAAACAAATAAATTCATTAATTTGAGAATCTGAAGATAGTGCAAGAATGTAGGTAATATAGAAAATAGACAAAAGTATTAATCACATAACAGATGTAAATCTTCATTGTTATTTTTTTTAAAGCATTAATGGTCATTTTCTACCTATAACAAATGAACAGTTCCAGTTTACCTTTGTATAATCAAGGTATTAAACAATTTACCTAATGGTGGGTGATTAAAAGTACCTCGTAGCACCAGTAAAACTCACTGTCGCAGTTCATTCTGAAGTGGTAATAGGGATGGCCCTAATATGAGCAACACTTTATTCTGCCCTTTGACAAATATAAGATTTTCTAGAAGTTATGAAATTTTATGTTGAAAACATTCTAAATGCACTAATGCTCTTACTTCATTACAGCACATAAATAAAAAAATAAGCATCTATAGACCTGTGTAGCACTCTATGTGAATGCAAATAATACAGTGCTGACACTAGATCCCAAGTTATTTTCTTCACTTGAACTTCATTCAAACATCCTTCTTTAGCCAATATACTATGCAACTCTTTTTCTGCATACTCTGTCACTACAACTAACTCCGATTCGGTATCAAAACTATCAATCATACGAATTATGTTTGGATGTTTTAACTGTCTCTGTATGTCACACTCTTGTCTGAGATTCTTCAAATCTTTTAAGGATCGCCCTTTCTGAAATAACAATGAACAAAAAGATTATCATTTCTATTGATGAACTTCAAACAAACGATATATTGTTTGACAACTAAAAAAAATATATAGTAAAATCAAAATTTTGGGTCTTTATAACTTTGTTATTATTACTGTGATGAACTCGCACCTTTCTTATAACTTTTAGTGCTACTATAGCATCGGTCTCCTTGTGTTTAGCTTTGAAAACACGGCCGAAAGATCCTTCGCCAATAAATGATATTACAACGTAACTCTCCATTTTGCGAGGTCAAATTCAAAATAAATATTTTCCCCATAAATTTTAAAATAGCTTTTTGTACCTAAAAACGCACAGCTACTTTAATTCTTTGATAATATCGTGTACGTACATAAACAACAATAATAGTAAATAGATCAAATACACAAGAAAGCAAGTAAAAACTTGTTATTGTCAATCAGTCAATGTCATTAGTGACAATTTATTTTTAGTGTTGCCAAGTGTGTTTTGTTCTAGATAAGAAAAAAGAGTCTAAAAAATTTGTGGAGATAGCTGAGCCAAAAACAGTCTGAATATGTTAATTTTAGTTCATAAAATAACAAACTAAAATTTAAATTCAATTCAAAGTTTTCAGTTTTATTTAGTCGCCATTTTATTAGATCACACAGCTGTATAAAGCTACATTTTCACGTTACGAGTGTGCTCGGAAAGAGAGCGCTGGAACGAGCTTGCTCGTATAAGAGTGCATTTGGATTGTAGTATACACGTAACGAGTCGAATAGCGTCCGGGTATCATTTTATCTCGTTGTTTCATAGCACTACATCCATTTTCAAGATGTGTGTTTAGGACGATCTTCTACTGCGAAATATATGGGGTCTACCAATAAGAACGTCCTGGTTTAAAAATTGAATAAAACACACAATTTTTTGTGAAAAATGCTTCCGATTGATTTATTTGATAGATAATTTTATGCAATTTATGTTTTAAATAATATATCGGCCAAATGACCGCCGCGGCTCCTTTTGCAGACGGTTACCCGCTCACGTCAATTTTCGATGACGCGGTGCACCATTTCGGCCGGTATGTCGGCTATAGCTTGTCGAATGTTGGTTTTTAGGTCACGAATTGTAGCTGCATTATTGCTGTACACTTTAGATTTAACGTAACCCCAAAGAAAATAGTCTAAAGGTGTAAAATCACACGATCTTGGTGGCCAACTGATCGGTCCATTTCTCGAAATTAACGACCCACCAAACTTTCCACGCAATAATTCCATGTTCACTCGAGTAATGTGAGGTGGTGCACCGTCTTGTTGAAAATAAAGGTCGTCTGCATCAATATCATCAAATTCCGGAAAGAAATATTCGGTTAACATCGAGTTATAGCGCTCGCCATTCACAGTAACAGGGTTTTCGCGTAATAATTTTGGACAATTTCCAAGCGTTGGTTTAAAGTGAAACGTGACATGATAAAATGGCAAGCCTTACTGAACACAAATGTCAAGAGACGTCTAAGATCCATCATCAAACATGGCCGCTATGAGCTGTCAAAACCAGGTCATCCCTATTGTAGAGATGGACATTTAAAATATACATCGATGTTTTTTTCGATGTAATGCATCGATCGGTCACATCGATGGTAATACGATGTATTGAGAAATACATCGATGTTTCTTAAACATCGATTATTTTCGCCATGACGTGTTTTAGGTTAGGTTAGGCCTTAATTAAAATATATATATAAATTAATAAAAGCAGGAAATATATTTATTCAAATTCAAAATCACACAACCAACACATTTTTCTTTACATATTCCAATATTTTTTGTCAATGCTATGTAAAAACAAAAGTTTACTTAATCTGTTCCCCTTCAGTCGGTTCCTTCGTTCAATTCAGCGAGTATTTATTTAAAGCGAATTCATAATCTAGTATTTTCACATAATAAAAATCAAGTTTAATTTAATTTTCCCGCGAACAAACGAATAATACGAGTCGAACGACCTACAGCGTTCCAACGGGCGAATTAAAAGAACCCCGTTCAATAAACTATAGCTATTTGGCGGCTATACAACACTATACTCATTCATAATTTGCTTGGTCGATGCATCGAATAAAAAACATCGATATATATTCGATGTTGAAGTATTAACAATACATCGGTTTAATACGATGCATCGTTACTATACATCGAGTGTTTTAAATAAATCGATGTATATCGTCCATCTCTACCCTATTGGTAGACCCAGTAGAAATAGTGACAGACAGTCTAGAAATCGTAAAGAGCAACTTGCGTCCTACATAACTGATTGATTAAGACTGCCTAACGGTACTTCGCATTCACAGGAGCAATGATTACGGATGATAGACCTGGTACATGAAGACAGGAACCAAGATCCAATTACATATGTAGATGTTCTTGTAAACCAGGGTAGTGATTATTATTCTCGGTCAGTAAAGAAGGAAGTAGGTACTAGTTTCAAACTTTACAAACTTTTCTACTGATCATATTTGCTTACACAGCCATTCATGGGCCACAGAGCAATATGGCGTCCACTGCGTCCAATTTTATCGTCAAATTACGTACGAAACTAATATAAAATTTAAATGCATTTTGTAGCACTTAAATCAACAATGACAATGATGATGAATGATGATGAATGGTTGTTGCATTCCTGAATTGAATGGTTGGGTTGGTGCAGCGGATTCATTATGTCGCGAAATCACGCGATTCAAAATGAGAAATTAGAATATAAGAGAGCGTAAGTGAAAAAATTGCATCACGCTATAATTTCGGTATGACACGGTATGTAAAGGCAATGATCATAGATACAAACAAGAGGTAGATATGTCAAATCGGCACTATTCAAGTCGGTTTTCTTCTTTCCCATCTCTTCTTTTCAAACAGGAGTAAAAAATAAATAATTTGCTATGTCTGCGACAAAAACTCGCTGTGTAGTGAGTAGAATAAGGCCCGCCGGGAACGGGTACAGAGTGTGCACCGCACACGGGTGTCATTTTCAAGGGGGCGGCAAAAACAGAAATCGAAATGAAAAGGAAACATTCACATAACTTTTATGACTGATGTATTATTATTATGTCGTAATAGTAACATCTATCGATCGACCAAAATAAATGCAAACGTTATAATTTACTTTAGTAAACGTAAGTATGTATAATGTGAATCACTCAAGACGCGCCACGGGATACCTAAATAGGGTAGGTAGGTAGGGTATTTAGGTATCCCGTCCGTATCCGTTCCGTACCGGGCAAAAGTTTTACGTTAGGGAAATTATTAGGCGGCTTAATGTATGTGTACGTTGCACGCTGTTATTGCGACGATAAGACCCGTTATCGAGGATTGGCTCGAGAGGAAACACGGGACCTCTGATAGCGGCTGACGCCAAAGATGCTTTGGAGATCACCTGTGTCTGATCCGCAAAGAGCCTGGGTGTCAAGGAGGGCTTCGCTGCGGAGCGCCTTTAGAGGTATGGAGGGGATACAGTGGTCACCACACAGGAGAGAGCCTGCTCTCGATCTGCAAGCCCTTGATGACTCTTGGTCCTTTAGGGTACCAGGGACTTCTTTTGTAGGTTACACCTGGTTTCCCAACTACTAAACGAGACGGCTAGGTGTGCGTTTTTAAGGTCAGAGCTGACTAACGTCGCGGCGAAGCACGGCACGCCAGTGTGTCGTTCGGCAGCCTGAAGGATGCTTTAGTATGAATCGGCATGGCATCCCGCAGAAAGCCCAGCCACTCAATAGGGCTGACGCTGACTGACGGTGACGTCGCGATACGGTACAGCTGGGTAAAGGATTTCAGGACGATGATCAATTTCTTTTTATCCTTGTTTCAATATGTTTTTAATTCGTATTACTTTATTTCTATACAATTACTAGTATATCACGGCGTGCCACCGAACTGGTATACATAGGTCACAGGATTATGACAGCTTAACTAATTTAAATAAGGTTTAAACCGGATGTGGCGGTATTTTCGTCGAATGGGTTGCAGCCTGGGCTGTGTGCGGGGGCAAATGAGGAAGACTGAGTGTGGCAAGATAGAAAGCTGCACGTGCGTATATCTAGGTTTTTTTATCTTTGTTTTTTAAAAAGGGGGGTTTATCGACAAGGATACGCCAAACCCATCGTACCCTAACATACACAAAACAACATATCTTAATATTTTCTAAATAAAAGTAAATTATTGATGATTGTTGAGGCAGACTTCCACCAAAGCACAAAAGAACACAATCTTTGGGTTCACCAAAATACTTTGAACAATCACAACATCCAAAGCATTAAATTTTAAATTGTCTAATCTATAATTTCTTTTCAATCCTGTTTCTGAGACAATCCATCAGCAAATCTTCAATTTTGAAACACATGTCACAGTTAGATGATGGTACCTTACGCATCAGAAAGCAAAGTTTGCTGACGGATAGTGCCCAGAACGAAGTCTTAACGCTAACCTAACATAATTTCTACTAATATCAACACCATCAAACCACGGCGCACAAGTATTGGGTGGGATTTTAATCGCAGGGCGATTACCGCAAAAAAAAACTACAAGAATCTATGTCAATCTCCTACGGATAACCCACAGTGACCACATATTTTTATCTTTTACCTAATTACAAAAAAATATGGGTACTTTAAGAAACTATTTTAAACAATACGCTAATATTCCTTATCCATATAATCACGTTAGGTACGTTTTTTATTGAATGTAGATCAAAATTGCCTTTTATATTGCATATCATTAAAATTCATATATTATCTTAGCAGATATCAGAGCAAAACGGCCGTCCCCGTGTCGGGCCGTACGTCAGACCCGGGTGGCAGGAGCGGAGCGGGCTTAAAAATATTTCGTGTAAAGATGTCAAGTCTTATCATAATAATAGTATAATTCATTACTCTTCCTTGACACCACATTAGTAGTATTAGTAGTATCTACATTGCACCCGTGCGGAGCCGGGGCGGATCGCTAGTTTAACAATATAAAATTATTACACTGCTTGTAAAACTGTCTAAGGCTAGGTACCTCTTATTTCGACGTTTATACATCGCCAGCAACTACAGTAGATATCCGTTTAGAGTTCTAGTTGTTGATGGTTTGTTGTCGATATGCTATTTATACACGATTATCCGGCAACCAGCTGCATGAGATAAAACTCTGAATCGAATACACACAACAGCACACCAAGTGGGCTAAAGTTCGGACGGGAACATTATTTTATGTTGAAACATATCATTTCACAGTAGGCGGGCGTGTACAATTTTA